TCAAAGTCACAAAGCAAGTCAGTGGCAAAGCCTAGATCACTGGAACAGATGCCCAATAGTCTTTCCACCACAGATCATTATCTTCCTAACCAGCCTTTCTAGATTCTCAGCTACTATTTCTTGGCTTGAAAATGCATGCTTTCTACACAGCAAAGTCAAAACCAATTGCAATGGAACTGAGGCCAGAACTGTACTCATCCTATTAGGCCCACTGTTCTAAGGTGAAAAATCAATCCTATCCAAAGGCATTCCATCCCCAAGGACCCTGGAGAGGTCTCAGGTAGCCCAGAAAATCCAAAGAGTTCAATCAGCAAGTCTCTATATACTAGGAATGTTACAGTTTGGAAGAGACTCTGGGCATTCTCCTGGTGTTTCCTGGCATTGCCTGGATGAATGACTGAATTAGGTGGGACACGCAAGGCAGCTTTCTCACCTTCACAGTTGAGAGTCAGGAATGACCTGGCCAATTGTCTCTGGAAATCTGATTTTTGAAGAGGAAGGCAAATGATTTAAAAATGCAAAAACTGGAAGAAACTCAAAGTAGCGCAACACTGGCCTCTTTTTACCCCCCTCAATATCCAGACAGCACTCTTTCATTTCTGTTTCAGCTTCTGTTACTTTCTGTGGCTATCAGGGTGTGTATATGTGTTTAAATATTTCCAGATTTGCTAATCAGGACATGTGACCCCCTTTTCTCACACATGCCTTAATGCCCTAAGGAAGCTGCCACCCGCTCAAAATGAAACACACATGAAGGCTCTTTCTCTAAGTGAGAATAGGCTTTACCCATGTATTCCTATCAATTTTTCTTTTTTTCCTTTTTAAAGCTGTCCTAGCAATTTTTTTTTTCATTTTTTATTCCTTTTTCAGTGGAGGTACTGGGAATTGAACCCAGGACCTTGTACATGCTGGGCATGCACTCTACCACTGAGCTATTTCCCTCCCCTCATCAATTTTTCTATCACTGAAATCACAAGTTGTAATTTCTACAACAGCAAGACAGACACAGACTTGCTGGCCTGACTATGACAGGTTATTAATACCCAGTATTCCTTAAGACAAAACACAGGAAGGACAAATGCAAAGTGTTTAAAGGAAATAGATCTATAGGGAAAAGAGTAGCTCACATTTGCTTTTCCGGGGTGCTGGGCTAGTTGTGAGAATGCAGACGGGAAGGCCTAAAAGTTGGCTACCTCTCTTTAACACTAGTAATAAAATGGTCCCTTGCTGGGCTTTTAAGAGCTCTCTGCAACTTTAGCACCACACACTCAGCACTGCCCCAAGCTCTTCCGTAACTGACTTTTATTGCTTTAATTAACCAAGGCTAGGTGGGACAGATTTACTCCATCTCTGTAATGTTATTGTTACCTGCCAGTGGCTAGCAGCAGCTCTTTACCAGTTGCCCTTGATGCCTGGCCTGCACAATTAGCACCTTATTATAGGCCGGCCTCTCTTCTAATCACCATGTGTCTCAGTCAAGCATTTTATTGTCTAGTCCACATGCTAGTTCAAGAGCCTGGGCTCCCCAGTTATAATAAATCCTAAAGTCCTTTTAGGCAAGTGTGTGTTTTCAGTTTACCTCCTCAGGCCCATGAGAACACGAGGCATTCACAGATGCAAACAATTACTTCCTGATTGTTTGAAGAGCTCCTCAAACGGCGTGAGCATGTGATTGGAGTTTGGGTCTCCACGCCTACCTCAACCCTCTGTACCAGACCCAACGGATACTGCTGTTGAGGGCTCTCAGCTACTTTGAGTTAAGCTCCACTTGGCCCGCATGTGACCTTTTCCCTTATCTAAAACAGACACAGGAGCTTCCCATAGACACCACGTTCAACTTTCCTCCAGAAAAGGGATTCAGGGGATGGGGATTTACGCTTGAACAGACTCCTTGCTTTTGGAATTAAAACCAACTATAGCTTACAGGGCATTACCAATTCCTTAACAGAGGCCTCCTTTACCAAACACTCTGGTGAATGAAATGGAAGGGGGAGAGGGACAGGGACACCTGCCTAAGGGGATGGTCAGGAATGGGAGCTAGGTCAGGTCTCAAACCCTGGCTCTACCACTTTAACTAGTTACATAATTAACCTCTCTGCACCTCAGTTTCCCATTCTGTGAAACAGGAATAATACTTGCCTCAGAGGGCTACTGTAAGGGCCAAGTTAGTTAATCAATTTGTAAAGTGCTTTAGAACAGTGCTTGGCACACAGGAAGCACTAAGTCAGTGTTAGATAAAGCTATTAAGAGTGCAGAGATTTAGAAAAGACAAACCTACAAAACAGTATGCCCTCCAAGGAATCTGACAGTGACAGGAAAACAAGTTGGTTAGTAGAATACTGTGCCATCCTTGCCTTCTTGATTTTCTAGCAAATACACAATATTTGAATTGCTTCAATAAACCAAAAAAGAACTCTGAATTTACGGGGTTTTGAAATGTTGAATGCATTATCACAACAAACAGGATTTTTAAAAAGTGTTCTGGCAGCATTAAAGTAGAACAATTAGTGAAGGTGTCATTGTTTTAGCAGAGAATTTAAAGTGAGCACTCTACTGTTTACACCTCATACCTACTTAGTCTAACATGTCAGACACTGTTCATAATATTATTTAGCAAATACTGCCAACCCTTCTCCCCCAAGGAATCTTTAGTCAATTATCAGGGTAACAGTTCAAATGAATGCTCTATATTTTTAAAGACACTTTGAAAGATTTTTATATAAAGATGATTCCATGGTATCCAAACTCATACTTTCTGTGTCGTTTCTGATCTATTCACTGCCACTTTAAAAATAATCAATCCTCTTAGATACCCTAGCTAATAAAATTCTACATCCCAGATCTCTCCTTTCCGAGCAATCTCTAGCACAAAGTACTACTACTTCTAACATCAGCAGTCCCTTGTTATCTCATCATAAAGGTCCTCACATAGAATCCCGGCATCTAACCTCACACAAAGGCATCTTGCCACAACAGGTGGGGCACCTGTGCTTTCATTAGGGAGGAAACCCTTCCAGTCTCAGCTCTCCTAGTTTCCCTGGAGAGCAAAGTCCAACATTGCAAGACTTCTTCCCTGTAGGTGCACTTGTAGAGAACTATGTAGAGATATCAGAAACAACTAATGTCCAGTCTACCAAGAAGTGATAATCTGTTTTAGAGCTCACCAGTTTAGTGCTTACGGATATGGGCAGGTATTTCCTTTCCATACCCTCCTCAGCCCACTGTCCTCACTGGTGCCACTATCACAGCTCTTACTACCATGTTCTGTGGTTATGTTGGCCCCGCAGCATTCCCCTCTGCCAGGGTGCTTTTCTGGGCAGAAGTTGTGTTCCACTTGTCCTAGCGTTCCAAAGCTCGCACAAAGCCCAACTATAGAAAACTCCCAATAGTTTTCCGTGAAACTTATTGAAGCTACTATCGATGAAACTCCAAACGTTCTTTGGATGCTGAAGCTGTCAAAGGTTGCTTTCACTTTTGAGAACAGGAGGTTCCTCAAAAATGGGACACTTGAAAAAGTCATCAGATTCCTTCTTTGTTTCAGTCACTTTGGGTTAACTTTTCCCCATTTATCCACATGGTCCCTTTAAAATTTGTTTCCTGCCCTGTCAGCCCCGCCTTAATGGGCTCCTTCAGTGACCCCCACATTCACCTTGCAGGTATCCTTTCTGGATAGTCAAGGCCCATATTCCTACTCAGCCACGACCCGGAATGGCATTTTTTCGGGTACCTGTTCACAGCTCCCAGCCATCACCCCATCAAGCCGGGGCTTCCAGCCACGGCTGGGAAGTGCTGGGGACGCCTGAGCACTGCGCCCCTCGGCAGCGCCGGCTACCAAGACCACCGCCCCCCCTCCCGCTGCTCTCTTTGATACAATGCTCCGGCAACCACCGGGGGCAACGGGATTCGGTAAGGTTCTGGGTCAGCGTTCGGTCAGTCAGCCCCAAAGAAACAGCCGGGGTGAGGGGTAGGGGGAATCCCTAGGGTGGAGCGAGGACGCCTCGGGACTAGTGGGCACTGACTCCTCGCCCGGACCCTTCCCACTGAGAACGACCTAAAGAGGGCTTCATCGCCTCTTTCTTTTCTACCAAACTAGGAACCAAGGAAATTAAAGAAAGGGAGTCAGGAGAGGAGCGAGGAGACAGCCCCCCAGGTCAATCACAACGTCTACCTCCCCTCACTCGGGGTCAGTCTCTCTCTCTCTCACTCACGAACACATTTACACATACACGACCTGCTGTTTCAACTCCAGCACTCAGTAAACCGCCGCAAGCCTGTCCCACTGCTAGCGCGCTGGCCCCGGCCCCAGCCCCGGCCCGCACCTCTCGTCTCACCCCAGTTTTTTTCACCCAACCCGTTTCCCCACCCAACTGACCGTGAAGCCGGAGGCAGTTCCCCAGTCCCAGGCTCCCGGTGGGGCTCCCGCCGCCGCCGCCGCCGCCCCCCGTCCCTCTGCAGCGCCCGACCCCGGACCCGGCCTCGGGCTGCAGAGATGGCTCCCCGGCACGAGGCACCGCG